GCCTCTATCTTTAGAAACATTTCATATCACTTTAACTCCCAACATTGGGTGAGTACTACTTCTTTATACACTCCCACAAATCGGTTGTACACTATATTTATAGTGGAGTTATAATTTATACTATTTTAAGAAGAGACTAAGTTCAGGTGCCTGGGTGGCTCAGTTGGTTAGGCGACTGCCTTCGGCTCAGGTCATGATCCTGGAGTCCCGGAATTGAGTCCCGCATCGGGCTCCCTGCTCAGCAGGGGAGTCTGCTTCTCCCTCTGACCCTCTTCCCTCTCATGCTATCTCTCATTCTCTCTCTCAAATAAATAAATAAAATCTTTAAAAAAAAAAAAAAAGAAGAGACTAAGTTCATTCCTTTAAGTTGAAAAATAACATGCAGTAGGTTAATAAAACTATTTTGGTGCAAGTGTGAAGTAAATCATGAATACAAAAAAATCTCCAGATAAGAATGATCAATTCATGAAGTTTACTTCCAGTTCATGAATCTGAACTTTTATTGCCCCTCTTGGCACTGCAAAAGATATTTGTTTCCTGTATTTCCTATGTTCCTAGAGTTCCGGTTTGCTTTTATTGACCATATTTCATCACCAAGAGTTATTTTTAAAGCAATACAAAGCATATTTTCCCACTTGGATACTGGACATTGATCCTGTGCTCTCAAGTCCTGGAGTTGGACACTCTCTGAAATGTCTCTTAAGCAGTTTTGCAAAATGATCACTAGCATGGCCTCTTGGCCTTTACCCGTATTTATGGATATCAAATAACTCATCTAACTATGTTGGCCTTTTAATGACCTTGAGTATTGCTTGTTCTAAGAACAGAAATCTTAACAGCACAGAGATGCATGGGAGGTCTCCACATATTCCAAATAAACAAGCTTCCCAGGCTACTTTTTCATCATTTGTCTCTTTGTAGCTTCACTTTGCCAAACAGAATAGCAGCTATCAGCAGAAGCCAGAAAACATCCTTTTCTCCTTCCCTGTTTCTGTTACTAGGGGATCAAATACTAGCAGAAAATAAATGACAGTAGGCACAGGTGACTGACTTAAGGGGGCAATGTTTTAGATATACAAAGCCCATAATTCTGTTTTTCGTTTACATTTTATTATCTAAAATGTTTGTATTTCCTAATAGTCCTATCTAGAAACGGTAATTTGCCATTTACATTGGTTTTCCTCAAGCTTAATTCAGCCAAATACTAATGATCTCTCTCCTTGTCCTCTTTTGAAGGAAAAGTGAAAGTAAAAATGATGTCTTTGGTAAAATAAACCAAGGTCCTCATAATCACAGTATGCCAGTGTTAGGTGGAAAATCCTAGGTGTAAAGTTTGTTTTGTTTTGTGTTTTTTTTTGTTTTGTTTTGAATAACTACATCTCCTTAATTAGGGTTGGGAATCTGAGATACACCAGTACATCCTAAAATTATAGTTGGAACCCATGTTCTTTGGCTCCTACACCGATGTTCTTCTAATGATACCGATATTGATAGACTGTGCAGTAATGCAAAAATAGGACAAAAGATTTCCAAAGATAGTTTCAAGCACTTCATATTAATATGTTAGAATTTGGCATGTAGTTATGGATCATGGCTATGATTCACCCCCAAGGTAATAGATTAAAGGCAGGCTTTGACATATTTTATATTGGGATAAAATAAGGAACTTGGATGTTCCAAACATTGTCCAAATGTCACATCCAAAAGTCTAAAATTGGTACTTTCAATAAAGGCACTTCGGTGGAAAAAAGAATTATGACTAAGCAAAGAACTTCCAGTTTTTATTTTTTAAACATTTAACAAGAAAAACATTCAACCAAATTTTAAAAAATTAGGATGGATTAATTTACAATAAAATAGTCAACTTAAAATATCAGCCCTTTTTATTTAGGGCCAAGGAGGCCAATAGTTCCTGTTTAAACAGCAGAATTGCACAATTGGCATTTTCACCTATATTTGATGGCACAGAAATATAAAAGTCACACAATTTCCATTGAGATCCTCCCTTCCCTCCAGAGTAGAATTCATACAATTGCTTCTTAGGTCAGTTCTCGGGCCTTTAAGAATCACCAGTTATATTTTGAAACATATCTACAACTATTCTGACAATAACACTTTTAAAACAATTCTTACAGGAAAAACCTTAAAAATAATTTTGTGGCACATTAGACTGCTTAAAGAAACAGCAAAGATGAAAAATAATGTACAAGAATTATAGTCCCTTGCTTATAGAAATCACCTAAATAAAATATTTTCCCTAATTAATTATCTTCACTTCTTATAATTTATTAGCAGAGATGAATTACAAGAAGCAGAATGCACCATTTTTTGGTTCTTGGTTGTAGCTGCCAGCTTGAGAGTTCATGACTGTAAATGTAAAGCAAAATATGATTATGCTCACAAATTCTGGAATGGGAAAAAACCAAAATATCTCTTTTAAAGTGTTTCTCTATCCTTGCTTTCAAGTCAAGACAAAAAATTCACAGCAGTTTAAAGGATGATGAAAGACTAAATATGGGCCGACTAAAATACATACTGAGAATAATTTTACCTATTACACTAAAATGAAAACTGTAATAAGTACGATATTATATTACCAAGTAGCATTCTAGAGTATGCTGCTGGAGCAAATACAGCACTTAACAGTTTCATTTACAGGTTAGGCATGGTAGCCTTTAGACAGAACATTTTCACACTCTTGAAGGTGCAACCTTTAAAACACAAACACACATAAAGTAGTATGTAATTCATAATAGCTGGCCAGGCACTTGACTGGGGGAAAGAGACTTTTCAGATTTTGAGGTAAACTAGAATTGTTTTCAGCAATTACAAACATATTCTAAAAACCACACTTCATTTCACACCAACTGAAGTTATTCAGCATTTAACTGTAAGTTTGTCACTCTATTGTGCCAAAATTCACACCTACATGTAACTTCTTAAGAAGCTATTAAAAGAACATTGTGAAGTCTGAATTCTGGCCCCATTTAGATATACATCTGTGCTTAGAACATACTTGAAAAAACTAAAGGTACAGCCATATAAGAGCTAAAATGAGCATCTTTTCCCCTAAATTTGATATTAACAACAAAAAAAAAGAGTCCTACTGTCACTCACACAGAGCAGAGGAGGAGGACGTGGAAGACAATGACAACGATGGAAATGACCAAGCCTCAATCTAGCCTCGAGAAAATTACAAAGCGGTGTTCCACAAGGAGCAGAAACACAGCAGCAGAGTTTCTGTTTACAGGTGTTGACAGTATGTGAAAGCTCTCAAAATTAATGCAAAGGAACACAACTCTCTGGGTTTATTCCACTCTGGGCACAGTCTATGTTTCTTTCCCTCTTCAGAATTCATTTCAAGGCAATGTGGAGTTTACTTAAAGGAAAACTCATTTTAGAAGATGGAGGACCTCAGTTAAGTATCTACACATCAGAAGACAAGAACAGAAAGTGGCCATTCTGGAGCTAGTCTTTTATCAGAAGTTATCCAAGTCTAATTTTCATTAGAATTACCATGAAATTATCTGCAAACAGAAAAGCCCTACCTCCAACCCTCATAACAATTGATTCTATTTTCCATTCCCTTCTTAAACAGCAATTTCGATAGAAAGGCGACTTCTTGTTCTGAACAAACTCATCAGCTTATTATCTGGTTTGCACAGACTAATTCATCAACATCCTGTTTTGCACCCTTCAAAGAACACTACCAATATAGAAAATTTTAAAAATTTTGATCTGAGGCATCAAAATAAATTTCTCACAATAATGAAAATAAAAAATTCAAAATTCTCAAAATAATGAAAAAATTATTGGGTTTAATTCAAAGTTTCCACATGGCTAAAAAAAGTCTAAATACTTTTATTTATAAAAACCTCTAGGCCGACCCTCCTCAAGATGGCAAGTTTTTCCAGTCATGGTGAAGGATTTGTGCTAACTGACCTCTTCCTTCCTTGCAGGACTAACAGTACACATCTGGCAAAACTACTAGCTGGAGTTACTGGTGCAATGAGCAAACGTGGAAGAACTTCTCTCTCTGTGATGCTACCTGGCTTGCTCAAGTTTTGACACTGTGACCCTGGTCTGTCAGCACCATGCTTTACTCAACTGAAATAAGCAAGCCGCCACTGTGGTGGGACGAGGGAGAGGGTGGGGTGAGAAGGGGAATGAGGGCAATTATATACATCATTAAAATACCATGATATACAGTGAAAATGTGTCTGTTAATACATCTGAGACTTGAAAATCATTAATCTTAGCTATTAAAACTACATTCAACTATTCCAATTTCAAATACCTGCAAATGTAGAGCTTTCAGATATGCCCTAAATTTAAATATGAATGGAAGTTCATTATCAGCAAGCTAGAAGAAACAAATTGCATACATTTTGTAAGTGGTAACCTACCCCCTGCCCCACCCCCCCAAAAAAGTAGAAATTAGGTAAAAATTAAGTAAATTATTCATAATTGTTTCCAGTTTCACCTTTCTGTTGGAAGAGACCCAAATCAGGTCTCTGGAAATCCAACTTCATACATGTAAGAAATGGCATCTGCTATCACATCGGTAAGTCTTTCCCTCGAAGGTAGACAGGTCATAGATGTATCTCAGACATTCATTTCCACGTATAATGATTTTTGAGACATCTATTCCACTGAAATATTATAAATCAAGTCTACAAACCACTCCTAAAAAAAAGGCACTTTGCTTCGAGTTAGATTTAATTATGTGAAAGTCGAGAACACTAGGAGAGACTCAAAAGTCAGTATTCACTTGTGTATTTATGAATGCAGAGGAGATGCCAATTTATAGAATATAGCCAATGACATTATAAACAAACCAAATGGCAACTTATATTCTCAGCAAAACAGTAATTTATGACATTTCTCCAAAAACCATCATAGTTCCAAGTTCAACAATAAAAAGCAAAAAAAAAAAAGTCACCAGCAGTTGCTACTTTAGAGCTCAAGACATTGTTTCCTACAGAATTTCATGTCTACAAGTTTGGTTCTGTTTCAGAGCATGAATTACTTTTCAGATGAAAAACCTGGGATGGCAGAGGTTTGTGTGTGTTGGGGGAGAACCCAGGGTGGACAAACAGTGGGGAGTAACAAGAGGTTCATTTCTCTGGTCAGACAACCAAGTGAGGAGGTAGTTATTCAGAGAACTTCTCAAATAGAGAATATTGTACTGATCTACTGAGTTGGGGAAGTAGCAGGAGCTTCTTTGTGAGACTGAAGATAGCAACAGGAATACTTCTCCTCCAGGGAAGTCAGGACCAGGGTGTCAGTGCAGCTAAAATACAGACAGAATTTGTTTAAGTGGCAGATAGAAAATGTAAGAAAAACAGGGTCAAGAAATCAACATGAATGATAACATACTCATTTCCAAACTTGTCCTACCTTGACAGTGGCTCTTTTCTGATGCTAGAACTTTAAAAGTATCTATAAGAAAAGAACACACACCATGTCATTATAATCATGAGTTTTGATGTACTGATTCTTCAAACTCCTAATCAGCGCCAAAAATAGGGTACGGTATGTGTACTTTTCACAATAATGCCTTCTAGTTTCTAACATTATTGAAAGTGTAATAATGTCTATAAAATACTTAAATGCTTTTTTTTTTTTAAGATTTTATTTATTTATTTGTCAGGGAGAGAAGAGAGAGGGAGAGAACATGCACAAGTAGGCAGAGCGGCATGCAGAAGGAGAGGGAGAAGCAGGATCCCCGCTGAGCAGGGAGCCTGATGCGGGGCTCGATCCCAGGACCCTGGGATTATGACCTGAGCCGAAGGCAGATGCTTAACCAACTGAGCCACCCAGGTGTAGTCTACTTAAATGCGTTAAAAACAGTTTAGACTTCAGTACTCTCAGAAACGGTGCCATAAGGAAAATATTTTACAACTGTACAGAAACAATAACAGCAATCTCCTCCAAATTGCCTGATGCTAAATAATAAAATTTATAACTATGTCAGGAGACCACATGCTCACCTTGTTACATCACCACACACGGTAACCCCATACAACCTTGAGTCCCATCATCATTGCTGTTGAGTTTCTTCATTCGGTACTGACGTATTTCTCTTACCAGTGTGTAAAAGGCATCTTCGACACCCTATAAAAGAACATGATAAGGATGGCTTAATAGACACAATCCAAGTTGTAAGCTCTCTCATTTGTACTTCTTTAGTGGATTTAAAATTCCAACGAGCTGACGAAATAGGGTGATTTAGGAAGAGGACACCAAACTTAGCATTCCTACTGAATCACATCAACAGGCTGATACACAAATGGCGTATTCTGCAAAAATAACATTCAAGCACAGAAAAATGGGTAACGTGGGACATACAGAACTACCAGATCTAAAGATTCCATTCAGCAGAGCAAAAGCCCAAAACACTGGCTGGTGTTGATGGAGGAAGGTCTAATGTTTGTACTTATCTTTAATCAAGGGTCCTCATTTTAGTAATATTTAGTAATAGTAGCATGTTAAGGTGGGAGTAAAGTGCCACACCAGAATATTCATCAGCTCATTTTGGGTTTAAACTGAAGAGTAAAATAACAGAATATTGAAAATCCCTAATAACAAAGAATGCAGCTCCTATTTCTAGCAGTCAAAACTTCTCTGCATTAAATAAACCCTTGCCAGATGCTCAAAGCTCTGCTATACCTGTCTGGTCTTGGCTGAGGTTTCAATGAATGGAATCCCATAACTCTTGGCCAGTTCGTGGGCTTGTTTTGTGTCCACTGTCCTTGTTGGCAAATCACACTTATTTCCTACTAGCACCATAGGTACATCATCTGAATCTTTTACGCGCTTAATCTGTTCCCTAAAAAAAAAAAAAAAAAAAAAAAGGAGTGTTATCATAACCTAAGAGTAGGTCTTTAGGAAGGAATGAGCAGCTAGAATAAAAAAGGTTCTAATGAATTTTATCTAGCCCTATTAGCTTCTAGTATGGAGTTTCACTTTTAACCCCCACTAAATATAAAAGACCACGCATACTGGTAGACTGGTTTAGACTTGATGCAGCAGCCACAGGGAAGCCAAGAACTGGTTCACCTTCCAGTGGAAATGGATGGTAATTCTATCTTTTGACACATATCCTTGTTAGGCTCCTTGATTCACTAAAGAGCTTAGCTCCGGATTTAAAATCACACTCTAGATTAAGATCTGAAGTATAAAAAGTAAAGCTTACTGCCTCAAAATAACTTTTTGAGGTTTTCTTGAGTGACAGTATTTAATGAAAGACAGTCTATCCCCTTCTCTAGGTGGGTGGTGTCCAGACATTTTCTTCAAACAGTATTATAGCTGGAAGTCCAAGATACAAAACGGAAAACACCAGACCTGCTCTTACTAAAGGGAACTGAAGGATCTGGAACTCCCAACTTATAGCACTCCCTTCAGAGACATGGAAGACACAGCACACAGCACTTTGGAAACAATTGCTCTAGATTCTCTTGACCAATACTTTCCAATAGAACTTTTCACGATGATGGAAAGGTTCTCTATCTGCGCTGTCCAACTATATCTGCTAGTCATATGTAGCTATTGGACACTAGAGAAGTCAGTTGCTATGTGGTCAAGGAACTGATTTTTCAATTTTATTTAACTTTAATTAACTGAAATAAGCACACAAGGCTGTGGCCACCATACGGCACAGTACCACTCCAGACCCTAGCCCTGGATTACACATGAAGTCATGTGCTGAACCGGTGTCACACTAGCTACCTGCAGGACTGACCTTTGCTGTAATGGCAGTGGCCTATTTTTCTTTTTTTTTTTAAGATTTTATTTATTCATGAGAGAGAGAGAGAGAGCACACAAGCAGGGGGAGAGGCAGAGGGAGAGGGAGAGGGAGAAGCAGACTTCCCACTGAGTTGGGAGCCCGACATGGGGCTCGATCCCAGGACCCTGAGATTATGACCTGAGCCCAAGGCAGACGCTTAACCATCTGAGCCACCCAGGTGCCCCGGCAGTGGCCAATTTTAAAGCATAATACAAGACAAGACAGCCTAAGAAGAAAAACGACTTCTAGAAATTCAACAAATATCAGATGCTTGACAAGTGTTGGACATTTTATTACATATTGCTATTATTTCCAGAGAGCAGATGGAAAGTAGAGCAGGTTTAGATGGAAAAAACCCCACCGAAGTCAGTTTTGGACTAGCTTGTTTCTATGAGCAGACATCACTGGATGGAGCACAATCCAGGACTGCAGGCCGTAGGAAGAACACCTGCATAGCGTTGACTACATGATAGGCACTTTTCTGGGTGATTAACATGTTTATTAACTTGTTTAATTTTCAAAATAACTTTTGGTAGGTACTATTCTCTCCATATTACTGATAAGGAAGCAGAGGCACACACATTTGGTAGTTTGCCCCAAAGTCCCATGGGTAACAGATGATGGAGCCAAGTTTTAACCTGTTTTATTACTCTGCTCAAAGAACATGGAGCTAAGAAAAAGGAGTCCTGGGTTTGTGGTCCTGGATCTGCTACTATAACAACCATGACTCCACAGACCTAACAAATCACTTCCTGCAGCTCTACTTCTGATTCCGTAAAACAAGGATGTTGTACTAGAATTTTTTATGGTTTGATTGAGCTTTGAAACTTTATGGTTCTACTGAAGACCATCCTTCCTCTTTATCTACTCCCCATTCGTTTCTTCCTATCATCTTCTCTCTTCTATGACTTACTGACGACTCTTTCTCAGACATGTTTTCCTCTCTGAAATTCCTGTGTGATCTCTCATACCACCACCTCTGGTTCTGAATCATCCCATTAGCAAGCTTCATTTAAGTATCATCACACGTTCTAGTCATGGTGTATTATATAAAATAAATACCACTATTAACTTTCAGTTATAACCCCAGAACCTCAATGTTAAACAATCTGAAACCAACTCTTCTCATAATTAAAAACGCTATCTTCCCTAGTGTGGTATCCTCATCCCCCCACAAAGCTTCAGAATACACTTATAGATCATCCTTTCAGAAAAAATAATGTTCCTAGTACCTGTAGAGGTTAATATCTGCAAATGATTTGCTATTATTGATGGCAAATACACAGAGGAAGCCTTCGCCTGTCCTCATGTATTGGTCTCTCATGGCACTGTACTCCTCTTGACCAGCTGTATCCAGTATGTCCAACAGACAGGTTTCACCGTCTATAACCACCTGTTTTCGGTAAGAATCCTGGGGGTGCGGAGGGTGGGGGATGGCAGGGAGAGAGGAAGATTTCATTTTTATTAGAAACCATAGGGAATGCAATGCTATTGCCAAGGTTAGATAAGCTCCTACCTAAGTTTATTTCCATCTCTCTGGTTTGTCCCTCAAACTCCTCATATATAATCACAAACAGAAAGTACTTAATGTCACCCTAGGGAAAAAAGCCCCAAATCCTATATGCCTCCAGAAAGGAAAATGTGGTCACTCTGTTCCTGGAAAAGACAGAAAAAATGTGGTAATTCAAAAGACAGCTCTACTGCAGTTAGACTAGAGATTAGGTTTCATAGTGTATTTTACTAAGGTATGAACTAGACTTTTCTTACTTGTTTATTGTACATTTAAAGTTCTAAACATACCTCCACCAATTATACGTGGCCCTGGATACAGTGTCATTTGTGTTTATGACTAAATACACAAATAATTTTTATTTCAGACAAGATTATAACACAAATATATTTTTCTCATCATGGTGAATTTTTTCCTTTGGGAAATATTCCTGAATCAAATTCCAAACGAGGTATACAGTTATAATTCCTCAAGAGGAAAAACATGCTTAATCACATATATTTATATTTTAAAAGTTTTTAATTTGGCTCTAAGGCAAAAATTTTACTTGTATTTTAACACTTATATTTTGGGAATTCAGTTCAAAGAAAATAACCCATCACACTTGGTAAAGATCTGGCTCCAGAAACAGAATGTGACTTGGTTTCCCAGTTCATTGATCAGTGCCTCTGTAACTCAACTTCATTGTGGGACTGTCATACACTTTCAAATTAACATAGAACTCGCATTGCCAAAACTTGCTTGAAGCATGAAATATGGTTAAGTGTATGAATGTTCTGAGGAAATGAGTACAGTTAAAATTATAAAGATAGGTTTTAGTCAAACGAATTTACAGTAACAGAAGTCAGAGAAGTGGTTATTTCCTGGCAGGGTGGGGTTTATTGACTGGAAAGTGGCATGGGCGAACACTCTGGGGCACTGGAAACGGTCTATATTTCTGAGTGGTGGTTACATAAGTATATACAAATTTTTAAGTCACTGGGCTGTAGATATACCATTTTTGTATTTTACTGTATGTACATTACCCTTCAATAAATAAAACTCAGAAAAATATTAAAGGGTTCTAACTATTAATACTAAAGCTGTTAAGCTTAACATGAAATTTCTGCCAAGGACTAATGACTAATTTTTAATAATGGCTATGTTAGTTAGCTTCCATTAAACACTCAGTGGCTGGGGGTGGGAGTAGGAAGACCAGGGTGTGGATTAAAATAAAATAATCTCTAGTCAGATATTTCTAAACTGAATACACAAAACCTTTTATTTAAAGGACCTTAGATGCTATCATTCAAGCCAATTTATAACATGAACTCACAAAAAACACTTATACTGATTTTTCTCAACATCCGTGTGTCATAGGCAGGACGTTTATGGTAATTTAATAGATGAGGAAAATGAAGCTCAGAGAGTTTAAGTGATTTGCTCAATATAACATAAGTAAACAGCAAACAGGGAGTGAAAAATCTAGGCAGTGACTCAAAATCTCATATTCTACTCCAGCCCAGTCTCAGCTGCTTCAGCCAGCTAATTAAAATTGAAGAAGACCTAGATCTTTGAATCCTTTATCTCCATCCTATTATTCAGTCACTCTTCCTATGGCCTGTGTTTAATAGAGCTGTCATAGGCGTTCAACAGTGAGTATGCAAAAGTTTACTGAACTATTAAATTGTCAGTTTTTTAGAAAAAAACTTCAGCAGCTAATAAAAATGAACTCTTCTCCACAAACATGGAAAGCTTCGTTATTGTATTACTGAACGCAGTACCCCAAATAACTTTTACTTTCTCTCTTGATTATTCCTTTAGCTAAAGAACAGCTAAAAGATAGGTGTAAGGGTGAACCAAAAGCCAGAGGTAGGGTCAGCGCACTATAACTGGGCCTCACCTCTATGGTGGGATCATACTCATCTACAAAGTGGTTCTGGATTAGCTGGATTGTCAATGCGCTTTTCCCGACACCACCTGCTCCAACCACCACCAGTTTGTACTCAGTCATTTCACACCAGCAAGAACCTGTGGGAAAGCAGCAATTAGGTTTAATGGGAAAGCCACAACTACAGTACTTCAAAGCCTTCTATAATCAATAGTAACTAAAGCCTGAGTTTGAAATGTATAGGTTCCATACACGTGACCTTCCACTTGGTTCTCAAAGTGATTCAGGAGTGCAAAAACATTCGCAGGTTACTGCAGGCCTCAGAATTAGGGTTAGTCGCCGGGCTACCCCCACCCCGCTCTATTTTTCAACAGTCCGTGGGCCCCGCCCTCAGCCTAAGGTAAAGGAAACCCCTCTTCCTACTCCTCCCGCAAGTCTCCTCAGCTCCGGTGGGGCAGCCTCCGGGCCGTATCCTCATCTTATACCCCCGCCAGCCTCCAAAAGATCTCCCCTGTAGGGCTCAAAACGAAGGACCCCCGCCCAAGGGCCTTTGTCTCCAGCCTGCTGACTCCGTTCGATTCCTGACAACAAGGAGGAGCCTGTATGCTCCAAAGACGAACGCTACACAGCACAGAACCTTACCTCAAGCTTCGCTACCTCCGCTTCCGACGGATTTAGGACCACAACTGGGAAAAATGTTGGAGACCCCGGAACCGCCATGAACAGCCCCCACTAGGGAGCGGCACTTCCGGCCCCGCCCGCTACGTAATCAGTCGGCGCCCCGGGCGCCCGAGTCCCCGCCCCGGCCACGTGGGCACCCGACCCAGGAGTCACGCGGCGGGCCGCACCCACACCCGCCCCTCCCACACAGGACGTTTCAAAAATGAAAGCGCTAGGTGCTAGTGTCTCAAAAATCAGTAAAACTTTATTCGCTTCCATTCTTTCGCCATTAACAGAAAAGTGGAGAAAGCAAAAATGTTTTGTGTTTACAAAGATAAACGGCCTCTTTACCCAGAGAAGATCAAAACCTCAAACGACAACGGGGAAGATAAAAGCGCCCTCCCCCACATCCCCTGAGCTGCCCTTGTCATCTTAGACAAAGCCTTCAGTCCACTGGCCAGGGACCCTGGATGTGGCCAATTCAAGATGAGGGCCAAGAAATCAGACCAATCCGTTCCCGTGATATAAAGTCGAACAGAAGCTACACCAAGGGTCAAGTGCCTGTATTTCACAGGACACAGGAACCAGGCGGCTACTTATAAAAAAAACAAGATTCATTTCAGGCACAACTTTTTTATTTTTTTTTTTTGTTTTGTTTTGTTTTTAAATCAGTAAAAGAAACTGGGTCCTAGAAGCTGCAGTGATCTAAGCAGCAGCAAGTTTGTGCATTCGTCTTTTTTTGTTTTGTTTTTAAATACGATTAAATTACCACACTGCTGGCACACCTCATTTGCATGAAATTCTGCACCATACATACTAATTGTAGTAAAATTACCCCCCTCCCCAATCCCAGGAAAAAAGAAACTACTCTGGAAGATAATTTTCACTGAAATCTAACCAAACTTCGTTAAGTGGACTGTGACAAGATTATAAATGATATGAAAAATAACATTTTAACATTTGGCCATCAACTTAAGGAAATGGTTTGCCTATACAAATTTTTATAATTTTTGTAATTTTTAATATATTCTACCTTCATATGGTCCTCAGGATTAAAGCATAATGAACAGGAAAGAAAAGGAAAAGAACGCAACTGAGTGCTAAGGCAGAACATCTTGCCAGATAGTAATGAAGGTAGAGTATATGCTAAATACCAAGTGCAGAATTTCATAGGGCCAACAAGATAACAGTCTATATTTTTCACTTACACAGGCGAAGTGGAGTTTGCAATTACCAGTTGCGTTAAATGCACCAAATAAAGCTCCTAAAATTGATACTATAAGGCGCCACCTTAAGTTTTCCAGGCTGCAACTGTGCATAATTTTAAAATGGTTTTCTTAAATTTTATTTTTTTAAACATAACACGAGGAAGGTGTTAAAACTGGTGTAATAGCTCAATAGAATAAGTATTCCAGAATTTGGGAGGGATGAAGAGGGAGATATTCAGAACCCTTCACCAGAATCCCCCCAACTTGATCATAGTGGATTAATGATGTGCTTTGTGGATGTGGTTAGTCAATGACACCAGCTTGACGGATCTTTCTTTCTGCACCAAATCCCTGTGAAGAAGTAAAATTGCAGTTAATTACTATAAAAGCATTACTTTCAATCATTGTAACCACCACTGTATTTGTTTCCCAGAGGAGGTAATTCATAGTAAGCCCTCCCGATCTACTACCTAAAATCTACCAAAAGATCAGGAAGACCAAGAAATGTGCTTCTTACTGTGAGCAACCATTATTGTTAGGGGCTGAACCAATGTGTAGGGAGTTTTAATTATAAGCCTACTGAATGTTGAAAGAGAATCCTGAAGTTGCCTGCTTCATTAAGCTCTGAGCTATGCCAAAATAGGACCCTGAGTAGCATACTGTCAGCTGCCCCTACCCACCCCAAAACCTTGTACGCTCTCATACCATTGAGTTATCTGGTCCCCTTGGTTGACGAAGAACCATTAGGCGAGGAGCACTGGCATCATCCAGGGTGATGTTCTTCAAGCGATTGACCAACCTATCAGGTCGTGGAGCTGCAACAGCCTTGGGGCCCTCGCTGTAATGAAGTCAAGAGGTGAGAAGAAACAACTCTTAGTGGGAAGAAAGCAAGTACCTGCAGAGGAGTAGGTTTTCTAACTACCCAAATGACTCAGTTTTAATGAGGGGACTCTTGCCTCATCTAGCCAGCTGGCTAGCAAGACAGGACAGACAAGTTTGTTTATGTTTTTATTCCCAACTCAAGGTTTATTACTATGGAGGAACTGGAAGAATCATTTGGGTGAGGGTCATCCCTGGACTGGTCTGCAACTAGAAAAACCAGTTCCAAAGACACACAAAATGAGGTAGGGGATGTGAAAAACCTTAGAAAAGTTAAATATGAAGAAATATTTCAAGAGACTCCCATCTCCTTTCATGGTAACGTTACAGATTTAAAACATTTAAAAAAGCAGAGACAGTATTGCTAAACTAAAAAGCTAGAATTTTAAGCAGCATATAAATGGCTTAATGGAAGAAAAAACTGAACAGAATCCTTTAAGAACAAGGACTACATAATCTTATTATAGTTAAGTTCTAATACATAGAATGTACCCAATTAATGTTTCATTGGGCCAGACTGAAAAGACTATAAAATTTAGACAATGAAAAGACTCGAGGTAAAAAAAAAAGACACAGAAGGATCAAGAAATAACCAGAAAGTGGCAGGATAAAAAAAAAGCAGTGATGAAAAGTGAAGAAGTGTGATAAACCAGAGTTTACGGAAGTTTAAAGACAGTCCAGAGAGTTTACCAGCCCAACAACAACTCACCAGACTCGCCAAACATTACAAGCGCTGCACTTGCCAGTGCGCTGATTAAGAATCACTGAGAATTCCACCTCATCTCCAGCCTGTAGCTCAATGCCATCTTGAACTTCTTTCACATGGAAAAAGAGCTTCTTGCTATCTCCTACTTCATAGTTAATGAAGCCAAACTGGAGGAAGAGGGATGAAGAAAAAAAAAAAAAGGACATATTACAAGGGGGAAAAGTACCTCACTCTGAATGAAGCACAATGCCTGACCCTAACCAGAAGAGGATTTATAAAACATGGTATTAATGCTGATGCTCCAGTTTAGCTGCCTGTGCAGCTAGAATGTAAAAGCATATGGGTCCGAAAAACTTGTCAGGGAAGAAATCTATCTTTGAAATCACTGCTATTCAATCTATCATAGCCTGACTGAAACAAAGGTTGCTTTGTGTCCTCATGTAGTATACGGAGTTTTTGAATTAAGCAAAAAAACATACTGAGATCTCAGTATGAGGAATAGTTTTGTTTGCCCTAAATGTATTTTATGAACACTTTCACACATGCTTGCTTTGTGTGGTCTGCAAAAGCAGCTCTGAGCTAAAGTACACAAAATCTTATGGTCTTTCTATTCTGAAAAATCTCACTCCAAACTTATTTTCCCTGTCATGTAATGTTAGTTATCAGTAATACTCTTTTCTTTTTGCTCATATCACCATTTTCTTCATGTGGTTTTCTTCATATTTTTACAAGCTACCTCAAATCAGTGAAAAAGGGGTGGAGGAGAAATAAAAACCAAGGTGAGTATTGATGGTTCTTTCTTGGCTGAAAAAATTTCAAAGTTTTGGTTAACACTTGTTTACCAACTCATAAAAGGAGCAAGTTCAGATCCAGAGATACTACCACTTACCTGATCCTTCACACACTCCACTGTGGCCCTACGCAGGGGTGTGATGTTGTAGGCCATAGTCTGTGCATTTTGGCCCAAGACACACAACTGGAACTTGACGCTCTCCCCTTTCTGCAGGCAATCCCCTTTGTTGGCCATCCCAACTATGCCAAATGGATAGACCTCACCTTTCATATCCCCTGTAAGGAGAAATTAGGTACAAAGTCTAAAAACTAATATTTCACAACAGTCCTATGCTGATGGTCCTAATAAATTTTTAAGTAAATTGCTAAAAATGTATGTTTCTAGAAAGATTTTTATACCTGAGAAATTCTACCATAAAGCTTGAATGAAATTCATGAAAACAAGTGAGAACCTGTAGTACTTCACTAGCTAATGAACAGTTTTAAAGTTTATTATTTTTTTTAGTAATCTCTATACCCAGTGTGGGGCTCAAATTCACTACCCTGAGATCAAAAGTCGCATGCTCTTCAAACGGAGCTAGCCAGGTACCCCTAATAAAGTTTTTTTTTTTTGAAGATTTTTTTTATTTATCTGACAGCGAGAGGAAACACAAGCAGGAGGAGCGGCAGAGGGAGAAGCAGGCTTCCCACCGAGCAGGGAGCCCGATGTGGGACTCAATCCCAGAACCCTGAGGATCATGACCTGAGCCGAAGGCAGACGCGTTAACGACTGAGCCACCCAGGTGCCCCCCCAATAAAGTTTTAAACTACACTTACGAAATTAAAAATAACACTATCACTCACAACCTCGTTACCTAAATATTTGGGTGTTTTAGGCA